CACCAACCTGAAGTGGGCAAGCCACCCTTTTCCGGCTGAGGACCATGGCCTCGGATTTGGAGGTGCTTATTTTCATCCCAGCCGCTTCACACTCGGCTGCAAACCGTCCCAGTGCATGCTGAAGGTCCTGGTATGAAGGGGCCAACACGACAACATCATCCGCGAAGAGCAGAGACGAAATCGTGTGGTCCCCAAACCTGACACCCTCCGGCCCCTGGCTGCGCCTAGAAATTCTGTCCATAAAAATTATGAACAGAACCGGCGACAAAGGGCAGCCCTGCCGGAGTCCAACATGCACAGGAAGAAGTCTGACTTACTACCGGCAATGCGAACCAAGCTCCTGCTTCGGTCATACAGGGATCGGACAGCCCTTAGCAAAGGACCCCGGACCCCATATTTCCGGAGCACCCTCCACAGGCCGCCTCGGGGGACACAGTCGAATGCCTTCTCCAAATCCACAAAACACATGTGGACTGGTTGGGCCGACTCCCATGAACCCTCCAGCACCCTGTAGAGAGTATAGAGCTGGTCCAGTGTTCCACGGCCAGGACGAAAACCGCACTGTTCCTCCTGAATCCGAGGTTCCATAGGATTGGCCTCTGCAATCAGTTGAGATTAAATTCCTGTCAATGCAGACAGGAATTTAAGACACCTGGTTGCACTGGCCTCCATGAAGAGGGTGGGGGACCTGCACGCATTCTCCGTTGTCGAAGCGTGCCTGGAGTTCGGGTATGGGTTTGGCCTGGATATGTGCCCAAGGTTCCTGCTACTCTCTTCCGGGACCAGGTAGTGAACCTGCAAGCGCTGCCCCTGGAGGAGGCAGACCCAGCCTTGGCACTGCTCTGTCCAGTACGTGCCCTCCATGCTTACGTAGACAGAACGCAGTGTTTCAGGACCTCAGACCAGTTCTTTGTCTGATATGGTGGGAGGCAGAAGGGAAGGGTTCTCTCAAAGCAGAGGTTGTCTCACTGGATAGTGGACGCCATTGCTTTGGCTTACCAACAGCAAGGTCGACCGTGCCCCCTTGTTGTGACAGCGCACTCCACCTGGAATGTGGCTTCCTCTTCTGTTCTAGCGCATGGCGCCTCACTGGCAGAGATCTGCAGAGCTGCAGGCTGGGCGACACCTAACACATTCGCCAGATTATACAATCTCCGATTGGAGCCTGTGTCCTCTCATGTACTTGCTCATCCGGCCAGTACTGGACACACTCAGGTGTCTTCGCTTGCTCGCCATTCCACTCCGCGGGCTGGATAAGTGCGATATTTTCTCAGCTGAGTCTGCTGTTGAAGCCCTGAGTTCCTCCAGCACTGTTGATGCTGGTGCCAGTGTCTATTGCCTGTGCGTCAGCTAGGTGCCTCCGTGTGCATGGTTCCTTTTAGTAACCCCCACATGTGTATTTTCCACTGTAAGCCTCCTTGAGCATGTACAAACCCAATTCCATAAAAGTTGGGACACTGTACAAATTGTGAATAAAAACAGAATGCAATGATGTGGAAGTTTCAAATTTCAATATTATATTTAGAATACAACATAGATGACATATTAAATGTTGAAAGTGAGACATTTTGAATTGCCATGCCAAATATTGGCTCCTTTTGGATTTCATGAGAGCTACAAATTCCAAAAAAGTTGGGACAGGTAGCAATAAGAGGCCAGAAAAGTTAAATGTACATGTAAGGAACAGCTGGAGGACCAATTTGCAACTTATTAGGTCAATTGGCAACATGATTGGGTATAAAAAGAGCCTCTCAGAGTGGCAGTGTCTCTCAGAAGTCAAGATGGGCAGAGGATCACCAATTCCCCCAATGCTGAGGCAAAAAATAGTGGAGCAATATCAGAAAGGAGTTTCTCAGAGAAAAATTGCAAAGAGTTTGAAGTTATCATCATCAACAGTGCATAATATCATCAAAAGATTCAGAGAATCTGGAACAATCTCTGTGCATAAGGGTCAAGGCTGGAAAACCATACTGAATGCCCGTGATCTTCGGGCCCTTAGACGGCACTGCATAACACACAGGAATGCTACTGTAATGGAAATCGCAACATGGGCTCAAGAATACTTCCAGAAAACATTGTCAGTGCACACAATCCACCGTGCTATTCACCGTTGCCGGCTAAAGCTCTATAGGTCAAAAAAGAAGCCATATCTAAACGAGAACCAGAAGCGCAGGCGTTTTCTCTGGGCCAAGGCTCATTTAAAGTGGACTCTAGCAAAGTGGAGAACTGTTCTGTGGTCAGACGAATCAAAATTTGAAGTTCTTTTTGGAAAACTGGGACGCCATGTCATCCGGACTAAAGAGGACAAGGACAACCCAAGTTGTTATCAGCGCTCAGTTCAGAAGCCCGCATCTCTGATGGTATGGGGTTGCATGAGTGCGTGTGGCATGGGCAGCTTACACATCTGGAAAGGCACCATCAATGCTGAAAGGTATATCCAAGTTCTAGAACAACATATGCTCCCATCCAGACATCGTCTCTTTCAGGGAAAACCTTGTATTTTCCAACAAGACAATGCCAAACCACATAATGCATCAATTACAACATCATGGCTGCGTAGAAGAAGGATCCGGGTACTGAAATGGCCAGCCTGCAGTCCAGATCTTTCACCCATAGAAAACATTTGGCGCATCATAAAGAGGAAGATGCAACAAAGAAGACCTAAGACAGTTGAGCAGCTAGAAGCCTTTATTAGACAAGAATGGGACAACATTCCTATTCCTAAACTTGAGCAACTTGTCTCCTCAGTCCCCAGACGTTTGCAGACTGTTATTAAAAGAAGAGGGGATGCCACACAGTGGTAAAAATGGCCTTGTCCCAACTTTTTTGAGATGTGTTGATGCCATGAAATTTAAAATTAACTTATATTTCCCTTAAAATTATGCATTTCCTCAGTTTAAACATTTGATATGTCATCTATGTTGTATTCTAAATATAATATTGAAATTTGAAACTTCCACATCATTGCATTCTGGTTTTATTCACAATTTGTACAGTGTCCCAACTTTTATGGAATTGGGTTTGTATCTTCCTTCGGCAAGCCACCTTGCCACCCCTGGAGTTAAATTTCTAGCCACCCTACGGGTTGGTGACTCCAGTGTTCCTCCATATGAAGTCCATTTGGGCTATATGTGTATTCTTAAGTCCTCCCTACGGGTAAGCATACTGCGGCATATTTCCTCTGAGATATGCTCCCCAATGTACCTTGGTATTCCTGTGCTAAGTAGGACTCCTCGTCCGTGCCAATATCACGACGGGTTCAGACTTCGCAGGGCACTGGAAGACAGCTGTGATGGTGGCGTGATTACTTGGGGGACCCCCATTCTCCGTCATCCGACGTAACTCGGAGTGACTACGAAAGGGAACGTCTCGGTCACATATGTAACCCTCGTTCCCTGAGTAGGGAACGGAGACGTTACGTCTCCCTTCCACTTCTGCTGTACCGCTGGGGAGATGCCTGAGTTCAGTCTCGGCTCCTCAGCAAAGACATAGCTGCGTTTGCATTCTCCTTATATACCCACGCAATGGGGCGGAGATACATAATGCAAATTCTGCAGACCTATGGAATTTTTTTATGATGCTGGAGCGAAATACCACAATAACACAAGGAGGTTTGAATCATATAAAGGAAGGTATTTATTCCTGACCACCAGGTGCACAAATGAGAGGGAGAAAATAATCCAATTGCCGTACCCAGGGAGTAGGAGTCTAAGCGGGGCTTAAAGCAAAGAAATAATCAAAACAAAAACCCCATTCTAACTTCCCGTCCCCACTAAACTACAACACCAAAGAAAAAGGAAAACAAAATCGACGGCGCTCAACACGCCCTCGCTACCCTACTCTACATTAAACTCAAACATACAAAGATAGCACCCGCTCCTTACCTGATGTTCTAACAGCGTGCTTCCCTAGGTGTTGTAATGGAAGTCACATGACATACTTTCCTGACTACTACTCCCGGGCCAGGCATAAAACAAGATAAGTAATGATCAAACGAAAAAAAACACACAATAACTCAAGTTCTTAACGTAATACAAAATAAACAAACAAAATATGTAACTCCAAGGTATTAACCTTCAGTAACGAAAACAAAAACAAAAGAAAACAAATGAGGCACGCCAATATCACGGCGTGACCCGTAACAAAAAAAAAAACAACAGCTCTCTTTCTCTCTCTCTCTCTCGCTTCCGGTCCACGTCAGTCTTTTATAAGGACGCCCATCCCGTTCCACGTCCCAATGATGACAGACAGCCAGTAGCACCGCCCTGAGAGGTGATAGCGGAGAAAGTGAAAGCAAAACAACAACAAAAGAACCACATATCCTCGGAGAACGTAACACCATTGCCTCGTTTTTTAATACTCGAAGATGATTGGTTTTCTAAGCGAAACCCCCATTCTCCTTCATCATCCAACGTAACGTCTCTGTATGTATGGTTACATACGTAACCGAGACGTTCCTTTGTTCAGTTTCCATGGTTACTAGTTCATTATTAGTTCATTGGTTTTAGCTGTGTGTCATTTATTAACTTGTTTTAGTTTGTTATTTAAGACTCACCCCTTGCCTTCACCCTTGCCGTCCAGTCTCTGTAATGTTTAGATGTGTTTGCACTGCCTGTTTGCTTGCGTTTGAGTAAGAATTAAACTTAATTAGTGTTTTGTGAGAACCTGAGTCTTCTGTTTTCAGCTTCTCTGCATACAGTACATGGTTACAGATAGGCCTATCCAATGACAAAATAAATAATAATAATACAAAATTATCCTTTAACCTCAATACTCTTCTGATGAAATAAATGTCACAAATGTTCAGATGAAAAGTCACAAGCATAATTATACACTGAATATTTAGAAATGAGATTTCTTATTCCACCCACCTTACCTAATCTGACCAAAGCAAAAGTTATATACTGTATATACATATTTTATATAAAAAAATTATAGGCTTTTGTTCTATTTATTTTAATCTTCCTATTTGTTACGTTGATATTGTGTGTTTTCTGCAGGTCTGTGCGGCAGCGCTTTAGCTGATGGAGACGAGAATGTGAATTTCATCTGGCAGTTGATAAAAGGTGCTGCTGCATTTGTCTTGAAGAATCAGTTCTGCCTAAAACTGACAGTCAAATCATTGTAATATGAACTCTGTTTTGTTTTTTTGTTTTTCAGATTTCATAAATAATTCTAAATCCCCTGATAGAACGGAGAAAGGTAAAACATTTCTTGTTCCATGTATTTATTGATAGGTAATGGTAAAATATTTAATAAAACATTCAGTGTTTTCATGTTTGTTTACTGTTTTCTTCAGAAGATCCAGACTCTCACATAGGTTTCCAGGTGCTCTTGGACCTTGTGAACATGATTCTCTATGTTTTGAATGGCAAAGATCCTTCGGCTCTTGAGGACTCCATCAGAACAACAGTGAACAGTAAAACTTCTTAAAGCTAGAACTTATATATAAGGGTTACATTTTCTGAGGAGACACAAACAAACAAACAAAGGTCATTTAACATTTCCACTTTTATTGCCCAAAAAATGTATTTAATATTGGTGCCAATGAAATAAAAATGGGGGACAGACGTAGAATATGTTCAGTGGGTTATACTGTCAGATCACGTCTAATATCCAGTGCATGTTTTTTTGAGTTTTTGTCCTCTTGTTTTGTTGGCTGAAAGATTGACACAAAGTGCACAACAGAAACCGATTGACTGGACAGTGTGTCCCTCACAGCAAGGTGTGATGATCTGCAGCTGAGTGCCCACTTGAGCCTCTGGGGGGGACTCCTTCCTAGTTTATTGTTTCATTCATGTTTTACCCTGGACTGATTATGGTTTATTTGTTGCACCTGTTGTAGATTGAGCGTCCCTGGTTTAAGCCTGAGTTTTCCCTTTGTTCGGGGCTAAGTATTGTAAGTGTCTGGCTGCTTCAAGCATTTCCCTGGTTTCTTGTTTCCGAGTGTTTTATAGTTTCATGGTTCCTGGACTCCCTGCCTGTATCTGGTCTTCCCGTTAGCCTTATTCCTGCATTGTATTATTGCTGATCTGGACTGCTTACCTGGTTTTGACCCCTGCATGTTTCCCTGTACCTGTCTCTGGATTCTCCTCTTAAAGCCTGCGTTTGGATCACCTATGTCCATGTTCCTTGTGCAGTTTCATGACAGAATACTGAGCCACCACTGATTCAGTGGCTGAGAGGAACACGGACCTCGTAAAGGATCCCACAGCACAGATCGTAAGCCTCCGCCAAGGAAAACGTCCTCTCAAGGTTTTTGTGATGGATTTTTTGAAGCTCTCTCGTCAGTCCTACTTGGATGATTTTTGTTTAATGTTATTCTTTCGGGGAGGACTGTCTGAACCGCTCGGCTCTGCTATACCGTTTCCGAGGACGGTTCCTGGACTCTTTCCCAATATATTGATCTGACCCTTTCCATGAGCAGTTCGCTTTTTACTGTGGATTTTTTGGAACTTTTTCTTCACAGAGGACCCGACGATTTGCCATTTTACAAGGTACCCACTGAATCCACGCATCTAGAGTCTCCCGGTGAACCAGCGCTTCACACGTGCTCCGCCGAGTTTGCGCTACATGAAAGCCCAGTTGAACCAGCGCTACGTAAAGGCTCCTCCGAAACCACGCAACATGTGAATCCCATCGTTCTAACACTTCACGTGAGCTCTGTTGCATTCCTGCCTCAAGAGTTTCTACTGAGTCTGAGCGCATGCCAGCCGAGTCAAGTGAGTCAAGTGCCGAATCAAGTGAGTCAAGTGCGTCCAGGTCCGAATCAAGCCTAGTGAGTGAATCATCCAGTCAATTGAGTGAATCATCCAGTCAAGTGAGTGAATCATCCGGCCAAGTGAGTGAATCAAGTCAAGTGAGACGCCGCAGGAGGAGAAGGAGGACTTGTTCGGTTCGCCAGGCTCTGTTGAGCGTACCTAGATGCCTTGCCCTGCCGGCCCCGCCTCTGCACCTCACACAGCCGGCCCGCCTCTGCGCCTCGCCTTACCTGTGCCTCTCATGCTTCGGGAGCCTTTTCCAGTGGCGGTTTCCAGCCCGGAAGCTTTAACTTTAAATTTTCCCAAGAACTTTTTTTTGGGGGGGGGCAGTAGGTACCCTAAGAGGGCCATAGAGGTGGCATCTACGTGGACCTTTGCACTTCCACCGACACCTGAGAGGGTCATGGAGGTGGCGTCCACATGGACCTTTGCACGACCACCTTCGCCTGAGCTTTCCATGTCACTGATCCTCCCCAACCCTGTGCTCCCTACGTCTTGGTCCCCTGTTAAGTGTACTCTGCCCTGGTCCTGTGTTATGTGTGCTCCATCCAGTTCCACTGTCACTTATGCTCCAGCCTGTCTTCCTGCCAAGCATGCTCCGCCCTGGCTACTTGCAGAGCGTGCCTCCCCGTGGTCTCGTGCCGCGCTCTTGTCTCCAGGCCTCCTGCCTCTCCATGGGCCTGGCCCTCCATCCAATCCCCTGTCGACCTCCCTCCGGAGCTCTTAGGAGCGTCTGGAAGCAGCTCCTTAGAAGGGGGGTTATGTGACGATCTGCGGCTGAAGTAATAATAATAATAATTCATTGCATTTATATAGCGCCTTTTTGGACACTCAAAGCGCTTCACATAGAGGGGGGAGTCTCCTCAACCACCACCAATGTGCAGCATCCACCTGGATGATGCGACAGCAGCCATATTGAGCCAGAACGCCCACCACACACCAGCTTACGTGTGGAGAGGAGACAGTGATGAAGCCAATCAGTGTATGGGGATGATTAGGAGGCCATGATAGACAGAGGCCACTGGGCAAATTTGGCCAGGATGCCGGCGTTACACCCCTACTCTTTCGAAAGACATCCTGGGATTTTTTTTTTGTGACCACAGAGAGTCAGGACCTCGGTTTAACATCACATCCAAAGGACGGTGCTCTTTTGACAGTATAGTGTCCCCATCACTATACTGGGGCATTAGGACCCACACAGACCACAGGGTGAGCAACCCCTGCTGGCCTCACTAACACCTCTTCCAGCAGCAACCTGGTTTTCTCAGAAGGTCTCCCATCCAGGTACTAGCCAGGCTCAGCCCTGCTTAGCTTCAGTGGGCAACCAGTCTTGGGTACAGGGTGATATGGCTGCTAAATAAGTTTCCGCTTGAGCCTCTGGGGGGGACTCCTTCCTAGTTTATTGTTTCATTCATGTTTTACCCTGGACTGATTATGGTTTATTTGTTGCATCTGTTGTAGATTGAGCGTCTCTGAATTAAGCCTGAGTTTTCCCTTTGTTCAGGGCTCAGTACTGTAAGTGTCTGACTGCTTCGAGCGTTTTCCTGGTTTCTTGTTTCTGAGTGTTTTATAGTTTCACGGTTCCTGGACTCCCTGCCTGTATCTGGTCTTCCCGTTTGCCTTATCCCTGCATTGCATTATTGCTGATCTGGACTGCTTAGCTGGTTTTGACCCCTGCATGTTTCCCTGTACCTGTCTCTGGATTTTAAATTAAAATAGTATGAAAAACAAACAATTAAGCAGCGAAAATTGAAATTTTTTGGCAATATGCAAAAATATCTCCCCTGTGTCTGAGGTTTTACTTTGTACAATAAATTAAAATCTGGATTGATTCAAACCCCTGCACATAGTTGGTCAGAACTGTGTAAAGACTCCAGAATCTCTTTTAGTGAGTTTACCGATGATAAGTCCAATGCAAATGTTTGGTTTTTATATGCACACACACTTTTTTTTTTTAGTAAGCTCAGAATGCTGCCAACAAACATGAGATGAAGGTGACTAATCTGGAAAAATAGAATTATATGTTGTCAGATAAGAATAACTCAGTTTTGTTGTCCTCTTTTTACAGACCTCGCTGGAGACAAAAGTCAGCTGATTTTTCAACAGGGGAAACTGGATCTCACTGATAAAGAAGCTGCAAACCTGTACATGAAGAATTTCACCATGGATGTATGCCACAATTTGAGTGTTCGGTTCAATTTCCGTAGGTGGAACTGATGCATACAATATATACTTCACTTTTGATTTTCAAGCCAGATTAATAAATGAACCACTTTACCCAAAAAAACATTTTCATCTTTTAAATAGCCGTAACTCAGCTTCCAGTTTAAGCCAGTGTGATTTAATGGCTAAAGCCTTAACTTTCTCATACGTGGACCATAGAGTGGTAATTCTAGGTCATTTATCTCGAGAACTACTAAACACATTTGTAGTGAAGAGAAAAAACTTGCATTTGTTCTCTTTTATTGAACATTTTTAGTTTATAGAGTGAGGGCTACTTATTAGTTTCATTGCATCAGCATAAGTTTCGTTTATTAGTTTATAATGACGTGGACAGTCCCTTTTGATAAAAAGAGCAGCTTTAGCCTCTACGGCTAATTTCCAGCTGTAGTACCCAGCCAGTTGTCAAAAGACATACATCAATAAAATACATTACAATTATATTTACAGCAGGACTTCTCAAGAGGGGACAGACATACTAAACATGTAACACACAATTCAAACAAATAGACAAGCAGACACAGATTGCAAAGGCATAACAACAATTCATGCAATTAAACAATACAACACAAACAATATTCAGGACACATTGAAGCGCATACTGGACATAACATTGAGGCTGGCAGCAGAAACTACGATCATGTCATATCAAATACACAACACATCTGTCAAATTAATATGTGCAGCAGTATTTGTCAGACAGATGTATAGTAAAGGTGGAATATATGTTTATCTTTGATTGTAGTGGGCAGTGAATTCCAGTTTTGTATTGCTTTAACAGAAAATGATAGTTTACCAAATGTGCTTTTCCTAAATGGGATTAGAAGATCACCTTGTGTGGTGCTTCTGGTAATTTGACTGCTATTATAGCGTTGGTGTCACAGTGTCTGGTTGTGTTTCCCTTGATTGTCACTAGAGGTCCTCTTCCTCACTGTGTCTTTCACATTTGACTTCATTTCCCAGCATTCTGTCTGTCACTCTTCAGTTCATTGCACTCAGCCGTTTGCCATCACCTTGTTAGATTGTGTGTATAAATACCCTGTCTGTTTTAGTGTTGGTTATGGAGTCCTTGGTTTGTGTCACCACACTTCTGATGTCTGTTCTGGCCGGTTCTTGTTTTTGTTTTGTTCTTGGATTGATTATTTGGATTTTGACCCCCTACCTGGATGACTATGAGTTTGGATTGCACTTTTATTAAAACTACCGCTCTTGGATTTTCTGTCTTCTGTGTGTGTTTCGTGACAGTTGGATTATGAATGAAAAAGGAGCAGTAGTTAGCCTGGATGCCAGCCCGAACCCCGCCCACAACGTTTTTTGGTCGGGAAGTTTGGTCTGGACTCGATCCATTGAGGAGTAATTATGATCAGTCAAACAACGATTGGGCCAATCAAATTGCCAGGGCGGGCTTTATACGATGATGGACAGTCATGTTATCAAAGAGCGCTTAAACTGGTTTCCCTCAAAGATGAATGCAGCTGGAGAATTGAGATGTGTAGATTCCGCTATTGCGGCTGTTGTAAAATGAATCGACAAGACAGCGCATTAATTTTAATAGACAGAGAACTGCAATCAAGGCATTTGTCGATCGGAAAGATATTTTTTGCCGTCCTTCCTACATGATTCGGGAAAAGTGTAACTTATCAGCTTGCTCCGATGGTCGCTAAGAAGATGGGACGTAATGAAAAGCTTGTGGTCGTTGTGGTTTCTCCTTTGGTAAAAGAGTACCAAGTAAAAGAACTAGCAACACTTGTTATTTAACTTCTAAAATAAGTAAGTTCTGTTGACAACTGTGAAATGCAAAGTAGTTGCCTTACTGCGTTGCTCTGATTGGTTGAAGGTCTACCGACTATCCAAATGAGTGCAGAGTTTTTTTTTGTTTTTTTTTCCCTGGTTCGGTTAAGACACGCCTCATAATCAAAGCCCTATGAAGCAGTTTCAGACTCATACTCGAAGCAGGAGTGGTATTATGGATAATTTTGTAGACCAAACAGATGTTTTTGTATTTCATTACATCTTCCCAGTTTAGCAGTTTATGACTTTTAAGGATTATAGACTGGTGGGAACTGTTTATGTATTTTTTGTTGTTGTTGTTGTTGTTTTTGTGGTTGTTAGTGTTGAAAGTTGTTAAAAGGGATGATTTTGTAACATAAATGTGTGAAGCACTGTTGCGATGTGCGAAGGCAGAAAAAAAAACCACCAAAAAACGTCACTTAAAGTTCTAGACGTTTATTCATCAGGAATGAATGATGAGGTAAACCACACAAGGAAAAACAGGAATAATACAAAATCAGGAAAAAGAAAAGGAGTGTTGTCAAATCATTGAAATAATCGAAACATAAAAATAATATCTAATTTATAGCCGTCCCTCTAAACTGGCTAACAAAGAAAAATGTAAAAATAAAACTGAATTCTTCAGCGGATGCACCGCCTTAACTAAACTATACTATCTAAGAACAAAAATACAATAATGATAAAACACTCCACGCCTTATTAACAAAGATAACTCTACCTCCCGTTGATGTTAAATGTGTCCTCCACAGTCAGTAAGAGTTAACAAAACTTTGATCTAATGATTAACAGCCCGCTCGTTCACATGTAGCCTAACGGTGTGTGTCCACTAGCACGGTGCGAGCGGAGCAGGCGAGCATTTTCAATTCATTCCAATGGAAGTCGAGCTTCACACTCGCGTAGTGCATTTTGGGATTGACAGCGGACCGGTGAAAGCGTTGAGAGCGTCAAAAGGTTGAGCAGTTCTCGACTTTATGCAAATATCAAGCGAAAAATGCGGTCGGCAGCCAATTGATGTGCAGTTTGGGATGTGACGTCTGTTTTGAGATTTAAAAAATATGCAAATTGTGCCGGAGTTATGCTGGATTTAGTGCGTAAATAATTTTGTTTACAAATTAGACGCTTTGCAGCTGTTATAGGCTCCGATATGTTAAATAATTTTGGATGTGTTAATTCATTGTGATTATACTGGCTGGGTTTGTAAAGGTTTATTAAATTGATGGGATATCTTTGCTTGGGGCATTTATGTAAACAAAGCTTGTCTATTTCCGAATGTAATTGCGTGCATCTCTGATGATTATACTGTGTGTATATGTTGAAAAAAACAGATTAACACGATCGCGACATAAGCAAGCTGAGATCTGGTAGAAAGTTCGCTGAGATCTTGCAGAGACCACCAGGATTTCGCAAGGATCTCTCTTCATTCTTCATGAATGAGCCACGTGTCACACAAATACACGTGGAACGTAACACTGGTGTAAGCTATGTCCTGTTGTTGGGCCTAGAGCCTGTAATCAAGTTTATATATTTATTAGGCTTCTGGTACGAAACTTTGAGAGTTTTTTTTATAAACAGTTGCTAATGGCTTTAATGATAAACTGTTAGTTTGACCCCAGCTTGTCAGACAGTATGTTAGATGTGACTCAATCATTGTATTTATGAATAATTTGGCAGCATTAAAAGTGCATTTCTAATATGTCTAAAATTAGCTAAACTGAACTTGACCCTATTGCACACGTTCTTAATCTGTTTTAAAAGAAAGATTAGAATCAATAATAAACAGTCAGACATGCATACAAACAAACCAACTGGTATGTATGTCTGACTGTTAAATAAAAAATTTAAAAAAAAAAGAATCAATAAAATTTAGCCTCTCCTCAAATTGTGGCCCAAGACTAATGTTAAATAAGGATTGTTGTGGTGAGCTATGAAAACAAGAGTGTGAGGAATACAGGTAAAGAGAGAATACATATTTTCTTTCTTGGTGCCTTACATGTTTATCAGTAAAAAAATTATCGGACTGATTAAAAACGTGAATCTGAATAATTCAACAAAAGAACTAGTTTGAGTCATTTGTTCATGAATCGGACCGTACGGTCACGCTGTACATTTGTTTTGTGTTCAGTCCACGAGGAGTCACCTACAGGGTTGATTTATGAAACACTCGTGTCATGTCTGAAATATGTAAATATAGTGATGCTTTTTGACATTCTTAAAATGTTTTTCCTATGGCATGGTGATATCCCCGTTTTGAAAAACATTGCTGTAAACAAATCGGTAACACTTTATAATAACTAATCATTAGTTAAGAAAACAGTTAAATCATTATTTATAAAGCATTAATATACATTAATAAGCAGTTTATAAATAAAGCTATAATGCCTTCTTGATTTAAAAGCATCTCTTTAGTGCGTTTAATAATTTTATTTTCATCCTTTATTAATGATCAACTTATCATTTCTAAATGAACAATGGCATTTTTATAAACTAGTTATTTAAGAATTTTCAGTGGTTCATAAGATTACTTAGAACATGTAAGTAAATGATTAATACACTATTTAAATGTGCATTCATACATCTTATTATTCAGACAGTATGTTAATAAATGCTTTATTAACATGTATTTATTTTGTAATTCAGGGTTAATTCGGGTAGTTATAAAGCATTTAGTAGTGGTCAGTTATCTATGTGTGTGAGCTCATCTAAAGTGAGGACTATGCCTTGTAAAGCATTTATATAGGAGATTTAAAGGCTGTTAAATATTGCTATGTTCTGTATCACTGTGTTGTGTTCGTTACATTTTACTGTTTAGAAGATTGATGTGCCTTTAAATCTCATTTATAAATGCTTTACAATAGTCCTCACTTTAGATGAGCTCACAAACATAGTTAACTGACCACTACTAAATGCTTTATAACTACCTGTATTTACTCAACCCGATCACACTAATTGCGTCTTTATAGCATGCATGTGTATTGTGTATTGGGTAGGTTAAATAGTGGTGATCTTATGAATGAATGACAACTCTTAAATAACTGGTTTGTAAATAATGCTATACTTTATTTAGAAATTATTAATTAATCATTAACAAAGGATGAAAATACAATTATTAAACGCATGCTTATAAATCAAGAAAAAAAGCATTCATAGCTGTATTTATCAACTGCTTATTATTGTCTAGTAATGCTTTATAAATGATGAATGAACTGTTTACTCATGCTTAACAAATATTTAATAGCGTTTCGTTATAAAGTGTTACCAACAAATCTTGAATTTCCAAGAACTTTTTATTTCCTTTACAAAAGCGTCTATGCACTAGTTCTTTAAAAGAGTAGTTCACTTTAAAAAGACTTTTGGTGATAATTTACTCACCCCCGTGTCATCCAATATGTCCATGTCTTTCTTTCTTCATTCGAAAAGAAATTAAGGTTTTTGATGAAAATTCAACGAACAAAATGAACGAAGTGACTCGAAAAAAGATTAGTTCATTTTGATGAACACGTTCGAACAGGAGAGTCACGAACGCGCATCCCAGTAAGGCGAGCATTTGTGCTTATTAAACGTAGTTTTTTATTTATTTTTGAAATGAGCGATCGTTTCGCTAGACAAGACCCTTTTTCATCGTCTGGTGTCGTTTAAAGCCCTTTGAACAGTTTGCAGTTTTCACTGAAACTCTCATTTGGACCTTAAACCGTTTGGTACCCAATGAAGTCCATTATATGGAGAAAAATCCTGGAATGTTTTCATCAAAAACCTTGATTTATTTTCGACAGAAGAAAGAAAGACGTGAATATCTTGGACGACAAGGGGGTGAGTAAATTATCAGCAAAAGAAAGTTTTTTTAAAAGTGAACTACTCCTTTATAGCTAGAAAAATAATTAAACACTGATCTGAAGAAAGCAAAACTTCAAGAACTTCTTGAATCTCCAAAGTACGTCAAGAAAGTCACAAAGACAGTCCTAAGAACCATTTAAGGAACCAAAGAAAAAAACATTGAAGAAACTTTATTTTAAAGAGTGTATTTGTTGTACAGGTCTTACCGTCAACATTTATAAATGCATGACTCAGTGGATTTGGGGCAGGAAATATGACTTTCTCCACAACATGACAGGTGAGAAGAGACTTGCTGATAACTGGCAATTCAATGTGAATAATAAACATGACTCATTTGTGATCTCTCACTCATAAAGTGTCAAATGAAGCAGTGCCCGCCGCTCTACTGGAAAGTAAGACGAGAGACTATGAAGATGCGGGACTGTTGCTCAACTCGCCCTACTTCTCAGTGCTGAGAAAAGAGAGAAACACTGACCTCATCATTTCCCTGGATTTCAGTCATGGTGATCCTTTCATGGTATTATTTATATATATATATATATATATATATATATATATATATATATACAGTATTTCTCTCTAATATAATAATGCACACATACTCTCATGTAAATTCAATCATCATTCTCTCACCCTCATGTTCCAAACCCGTATGACTTTATGCACAAAAGAAGATTTTTATTTTATTTTTTTAAGAATCTTGCAGACAAAATTACCATCAGGGGTCACACTAACCTAAAATGCTTTATATAATTTTAACTAGGGAAAAAAAAAAGAGAAAGAAAACCAATTTAAAAGTTTGAATCTCGCCATCTTTATGTGGTATATACAAAAATAATCTAATGGAGAGTTATCTGTTAGCATTCCCATTCATCTGAGTGTCAGATACAGATTGTTACGCCTGCCGCAACACACATGAACACCTGAAAGTACTTCCACTTGTAATAAAGTGATTTGCAATGCTTTTCCACTGCAGACAGTGACGGAAGCTGCCAAGATGTGCAGGAAACGAAACATCCCTTTCCCTGAGGTCAACATTCCCGATGGACACTCAGAGAAACCGAAGGACTTCTATGTGTTCAAAGGCAAAAACGTTCCAACCGTGATTCACATCCCTCTCTTTAACGTGGTCAACTGTGGAGGCAAGTTAAAATCGTACAATGAACCTGAATAAAATCTGACTTATCAACTGTGTTCTGATTTAAGTGTGTTATTGTTTCTTCAGGTAAAATTGAGGACTGGAGGAAGAGATATCGCACGCTTCAAAATCCTTTCAGTGCTAAGATGATCACTGATCTAATGGAGGTTGCTGGAAAAAACATCTTAAACAATAAAGCAAAAGTGGTGGAAGAGATTAATGCGATCGTTGGGCAAAAAAGATCCAGGCGCTAACAAGATCAAATTTAACAGGCAAATCAATACACAACTAATAACAAACTAAATACAGACTAAATTGAACATAGATGATTTAACAATAAATTGTGTTTCATTTCTTTTTCTCTCTTTAATAATCACTTAAAATTGATAGGCATTAATGCTTTGTTTGTTTGCCCATAAAATCTTTAAGATATTAGGATAAACTTATTTGGCTTGCTGTCCACTGGAGAGGGGCTCGATGAAGCCGCTTCAACTCGAGCTCTTATACACCCCCAGTGGTGAAATGTACGACCTGAAGATTAAAGGGCGAGGAACCTAAGATGAAGGTGGAGTTTAGGGAGGTGGAGGGATACTGGAACAGCTGATGCTAGGGATTGGTAAGCGGCTGCTTATATACTCAGGCTGTTGATTGAAAGATTAGATTGGCTCACTCCTCCCTAATTTATGTTTAGGAGCTTCATTTATTACTTTTTGTGCAAAATGTGATTTGTGTGACATAATAAGATAATCAGATGTTGGTAAAGTTTGTGCTTCACTTCTGTTTAATGTTGAACATGTTTCAATCTGTTTGAAAGATCATGATTGACCTCTATTAACAGCTGATCATTAATAAAACTAATCATTAACTAATTATTAAGAAAATAAGCACAATATCATATTAGCTACTTTGACAAAAAAATTATCCTTGTCAGTTATTGTTTCTGTTCCAATACATTAATAAAGTGCTCTTGAAAAATAAGGTTTTGTCCTGGTCATTTGATATCATAGGGCAAACAGCACAAGTGCTCAACTACTAAACTGATAGTTGTGGTCCTGGATGCTGATTGTTCCAGATCTCCAGTCATTTTAAAACACATTAGCTACTATAATAAATGAATAACGCTTTATCACCTAATGATTTTAGACACATTTGAAATGGGTGGACAATTAGAAATGTCTGACATAGGCCTAAACAGAGTTCAGTGCTAGAATGGCTGTTTACAGTTATTTACTTTACTGTAAAAAAGTGTAATTTTACAGGTAATAGTCTGAATTTTTACCGTTTTGTCATTATACAGTTAAATGCCTGTTATTATACAGATATTAGAAGTAATTTAAAAGTCCACTTTTCATTTTACAGATAATTGCTTGTATTTTGGTTTTACATCAATTTTGTTATTTAAAAGAAAACTCATTTTAAAGAGTTATGTGTAATTTTACATAAAATATTAAGTAATATTTTACAGATTCTTTCTGTAAAATTAGAAAACAAAGAAAATAAGTATTGTACTGCTGTTGTACTGTAATGTGTGTTGTACTGCGATACTACTGTTGTACTCGGAGGCTGGGGAGAACTACTTCAGGTGGTACAGAGAGTGTGGGCATGTTGTGAACACGCAAGAGAGGAGTGGCATATCTCTGAATGCCTTCTACATTTACTCTTGTAGCCTTTACTTCCAGAAGATCCATAGCTTGGTGGTCTCTCAAACCTCTTTTCCACCAAAGCATTTTGAGAGCCGGTTCGGAGCCGGTGTCTGCGCGCGAACTGGTTCTTTGTGTTTCGACAGCCAAAGAACCGGTTCTCGGCCAGGAAAACTGGTTCCAAGCGGCACCAACTCTTTGCTGGACTAGAACCATTCTTGCCACGTCATGCTTACATCGGGGGCTGGGGCGGGTTTAGATGTGTTCTAAACATCTTTTCTGACCATAATAAAGGATCGCAAAGCCAAGAGAAACATTTGCAGAAACACGATGGAGTCCGCCTTTGTAATTGTTATGCTTGAAGTTAACGCAAGCGTTTCTATTTTTGTAAATTTTTTTATTGAAGACATTATAAGTAAAGAAGAAAACAGTCACAATATAGAACAAATAAATGGAAAGAAAAAAAGACACAAGACAGGGGTACATAACTTATCAGAAAAGACTACATATCAAACGAAAAGATTAAAAGACTTACATATTTCAATTGTTTTTAAAGCTTTCTTGGTACACGAGTTAGAGATAATCCGAAAGTAATTTTGTATTTGCAAGCGTTTCTAGCTAAGACGTATGGCAAGTTGAACCAACTCCGAACCAACTTTGAACCAGCACCAGTTCCGAACCAGTTCTTTTTTAGGTGGAAAAGGGGTATCAGAGACCGTGTGATCAGCTTCTCACTTCTGTATGGCAGAACATCAAGATGCCACAGCTTCTCTACGTGACTGAAAAGCTCTGTAGAAGGTGAGATAGTAGACAAGAAAAGACATTGTTGGGGCTGAGTGTTCTGACAGCGAGAGGGGGCAGGTCCCTGTAAAGTCCAACCCAACCTGGAAACGCACGGGCTGGATGGGAGTAACCAGGTGGGGACAGTCAGAGCCAATCAGTAGGGGTGGCTGGGCATTTGTGAATGGCTGCAGTGGTAACTTCCTCAGATGTCTGTACTTCCTTTGAAGACCTTCCACCTGGTATGAATGCTCAGCCAGTCCTAAATCGTCTGCTGTAAAAGCCTTCGCAATTGTAAAGGTCTTCAACGGTTGGCTCACTGTTGAGACTTTAAATGTCACTGATTCTCCGAGTAGTGTTCTCAAGTCCTTGTCTCACAGTTCGCAGTGAGAGACTCTCTGGAGTCCCCTTTAACTTAAGCCTCTGGGCAGCCTCTTGGAGCAGGATTGTCCTCTCAGATCCGTCGTCGAGTATGGCAAATGTCTCTAGTGTGTGCTCACCATTTCACAGTAGGACCTTACTGATCTTCAGGAGAACCTGACTGCATTCTGCTCTCCGGTCTAGATAAAGAACATCTGCAGAAGATTTATTCTCCAGCTCATAATCTGTCGGGGTTACTGGTCTGGATGCAGCCACACACAGATTCACAACATGCAAGGCCTCAAGATGCTTTCCTTTGCATGCCTTACACTGTACTTTAAGTCGGCATTGAGCAACTTGGTGGCGCCGCCCACATCGCCAGCAGCGGTTATTGGACTTAATCCAGTGGGTCTTTTGCTCCTTTGTCAGAAACTTGAAATTAACACACTGATCTAGAAAATGCAGAGTATTGCAGCAGTAGGGGCAGTATGATTTGGGCTTGTCTTGAGTATCCGGAGTTAAATGGGTTTCAACTAGAGTCTCTTTCAATGCACCATCTCGTGTCGCGTCAAGCAGGACTGTTGTAGTCCTCTTAACAGTTCTTTTATCTCTCCTTGTACTGATTCCATCTCTTTGAACATCCTCTCCTCTCCTCGCCACATGAGATCCACACTGTAGCTCTGCACGGCCGTCCCCCCCAAGCTGTTCCAGCATGCCAACCAATGCTCGAACTCTGAGTGCAAACTTCCTGAAGCCTTCCGTGTCGCTGGAATGGATATTGGGCTCATCCATCAGCTCTGCTATTCTTTGCAGTGACAAGTGATGAGGCTGACCATATTGCTTGATGAGTGAAGTCATTGTGTCTGTGTCAGCAATCAGAAGAGCTTCTTCAAATCTGAGTTGGTCGCATAACACCTGATACTTAAATCTCTCTGTTGCGTCAGCTGGAAGAATGTTGTCCAAAGCTAATCTTAATTGAGCAAACTGCCTGGGGTCAGCCCGGGTAAACTCTGGAATTGATGGCTTTGGGCCATCAAAGCCCAAAGTAAATTTTCTCCCTCGTGGCTATAGGTTGAGTGGGAGTAGACGCACACTCTGGAAACAGGATGTTGCCCTCTAAGTGTTGTACCAAGAGTTGGTGTTGCTGAGGCAGGCTGCGGCACATGGCTCTGGGTGTCTGTACCAGTGGTCACTGCGGCTGCGGGCTGTAGAACTCGTAACTCCTGCAGGCACTGGCTAAGCTCTTGAACAATACCTGGTGATTGCGAGGGTGGAACGAACTGCACGTGCGGCGAATCAGGATGGTGTCTGGGAAGGGAGACTGGCGGTGGTGGCCACTCCTCCTGCTGTTCTGCACTTCCTTGTGCGCCAGGTAGGGTATCCTGATGCAGAGAGGTCTGAGTGGGCGGATGTGTGGAGAGCCATGAGTCACCGGCGGAAATACTTCCTGGCGGTGCAGGCTGCAAACTTGTAGAAGCCAATTTTGCAGTGCCATGATCCATCCGTCTCCACATATCTGTAAACATCATCTGAAGACGCCTGTTCTCTACCTGCAGCTGTTGCACAATGTTTATAAACTCGTGGGGAGCACTGGATAACAGTGATGGAAGTTCTAATATAACCAGGAGATGTTCCACTTATCTGCTCTGGGGGTTGCTGGGGGGCGTATCCCGGCATATCCCTCTCTGGCCCTGTCCTGCTCCGGTGGGGCAGGTGGCAGTGCGTATCCCTCATAATCGCTCATCCATCCTGGCAGTCGCACTGTTCTCCGTGGATGGGCACCACCTATATGCGGATCAAAATCCATCTTCACTTCGTAATCATCAAGTCCCGGGTTTCAGCACCAAATTTGTTCTGAAGACTTGCTTACTACTGTGGTTCAATAGTGGTGGTGTGATCGTGGAGTGTGCATCGGTTAGAATCAAAAAGGAATAGGCTGGATTAGCCTTTATGAGTTTTTATTCTTGGATGGGAGAGTATAGAATGAATAGTTAGATATATGTGTGGTTTTGTAACAAAACAGACAATTTAAGGAAATATTAATTACCATTTACATACAAATAATAAGAAATAGTAGTGTAAATATAACCTGAGGAATGAGAATTTAACCTGAAGAAGATAATAGGTAGAATTCACCATATATTCACTGTAATAATGCAGTTACATGCTATCACGGGGGAAAAGCCTTCACCACTATGCAGAACTACTGCCATTAGCCTACACATAAATAAACACTACTACACTACTAAATAGAGGTCGACCGATTAATCGGCCGATTTTTGGCATTTTTTAACATAATCGGCATCGGCCAACATCCCAGTATATCAAGCCGATTATTAGGCAGGCGCATCTGTGGGCAGCCTTGTGTTGTCGTGCTTGACGCGCGCTGCCGCTATAGTCATTTTACAGCCGAGTGAGCAGCAGACCTCATCCAGTGCCCAAGGAGCTAACGGCAATGATTCAGTTCGTATAACTCCCTTATATTTAATTAAAAACTTTTGATATGTTACTGCCAACGTCGAGAAAAAACCTGAATAAGCGACAAGACATTCGGCTAAGTTACTTTGGATCGTAATTGAAGTTGCGTTATCACAGAAGAGTTGCTATCATGTCACAATAAATAAGCAATAATTTTGCAATTACAGAGTGAATCTGAGACTTTTATTTGTTCTGTTTGTGTGTCTTATATTTGAGAGGGTTGCCACTCAATGCAGAGAAATAAGTAATAAAAAAAGAGACCAACAGGCTAGTGACAGGCTGGCTTTGCTTTGCGGGTAGCTACAGACAGACCCGGTGCTAATACAGCACTGGAACCTTAACCACCGTTATCTTTCGCAATGAATATAATAACAAACGGATTTCTGTGCTTCAGTTTGGTGCTACTGTTATGCCAGTGCTTCTCTCGGATGCTCAGAAAACGGACGTTAGAATAACAGAAACATCGCTTTACCTTACCGTTAGCAGTGTTGGGAAAGTTCGCTTTCTACATGAACTAGTTCAAAGTTCAGTTCACACATTTTAAAATTAACTAGTTCATTCATAGTTCTTTTTTCCATATGTTGCGAGCTTTATTATTATTATTATTATTGCCACAGCCCATATACAAACACAGACAACAATTATTTTATCGATGGGCAAAGTTTGCACATTAATGTAAGATTTTAGATACTGGTGGCTGGTGTTGCCAGATTGGGTGTTTTTTTCGCTACATATTAAGGCCTGTTTACATGTGTTTTAGCTGGGTTTTCGCCTGGAGGGCTCTATAGAAATCTGGCACCCTATTGCAGAGAGAGCGCGCGTTCACAGACACCAGAATGAACTAACGTTCATCAGCCAGTAATACAGTACGTTCCGTTCACGTTCGCCCAAAATATGAACGTGTTCATGAACTATCATTCACAATGCACGTTGTGGTGCAATTAAAGATTTTATAAAATATAATTTTCCCATCTGGTGGTTGTTTTTGTCGTTCAACAGCAATTTACTAGTGAAATACCTTATTGTTAGAAGTTAAATTAAATAAAGTATAATATATCTTATATATAAAAAATAAAATCAAAGTTTTTTTCTCCTTTTTTGTGATAATTAGGTTATGTCCATTTGTCTTTTTCCATCAACAAACAAAACAAACCAAAAATAAATCTTTCAGGACATGTTTCAGGAAATAATGTACTTTTTGAGAGGATAAAATGTTTTTGTTGAGAAAGTTTGTCTATGTTAAGTAATTATCATTTCTTTTACATGTTATCTTTCAAATTGAGGTTAAAAACCAAGCAAATATCGGCCAAAATAAATCGGCAGCATTAATCGGCCATCGGCCAACCCGGATCGGTAAAAGATCGGTATCGTATCGGCATCGGCGTGAAAAAAAACATATCGGTCGACCGCTACAGTACAGGTGACTGCACTGTCATAATACAATGATATCAACCTTCTAAACGTAAAATAGAAAGAGTATTACATGCGCAGGAAAAACCTAACTTGTCTTAACATCTTAGCTCAAGTGCTAACAATGATGAATATGTCAAAAATAACGTCAAACATACTCTAGTAACACTCTTAAACACTTTAACATTACAGACATTGCACAGCTAAAGACCCACTTGTCTGACACAGTGAAGAAAGGGAAGAGAAAAACCGAGGGAACATGCAACTATCACTGATGCTCAGAGATGACTAAATAAACACAGAAGCTTTCCTTATACAAAAAACGGATGCGCCCCCTAGTGGTCGGCATGAGATCTGCACGCAAACTATAAGATACTGGATATGAACAGTCTTGTCTTTTCAACAATAATGTAATGCAGACTCAGACTCTCATAACTAAAAAGATGTTTGAGCCCTCTTTATTGTCCTGGTACTATAATCATAATATATAATAATAATAATAAACTATAATCAGTCCAGGGTAAAACATGAATGAAACAATAAACAAGGAAGGAGTGCCCCCCAGAGGCTTAAGCTGGCACTCCAGCCGCAGATAGTCACAGTAATTAACAGTATATTTTTTCGAAACGAGAGGATACTTTGTAGATTTACAGAATGGATTTAGGAATGGAATATCTACAATGGAGTCAGTTGTAGTTTTAGATCAAGATATTAAAAGGGCATTTAACAATAAGGAAATGGCAGTGGGTGTATTTCTGGATATTGAGAGGGCTTATGATTCTTTGTGGTAGGAGGGATTGACGATTAAAATTTTTGACTTGGGAGTTAGGGGACGAATGAATGTTTAATTGGATAAAGGATTTTAATGAAAAGAACAATTCAAGTTATGGTTGGTAGTGTTAGTTCTAAGACTGTGGCCATAGAGAATGTAATCCCACAGGGGAATGTAATTAGTCCAGTGTTATTTCATATAATGATCAACAATATATTTGATAAAGTAGAGAGAGGATTTGGGTTATCTTTATTTGCAGATGACGGGGCCATTTGGAAAAGGGTCTCCATTGGGTCTCCATTGGAGAAGGTAAAGGTTTTTACATTTTTAGGTGTTTCGTTTGAAGAGTGTATGACTTGTGCTGTGCATGGAGATAAAATTGTGCTGAAGTGTGAAAAAGTTTTGAATGTAATGAGAAGTCTGGCTGGGTGTGATTGCGGGGCTAAAAGGGAGACGATGCTGCTAATTTTTCAGGCCATGATTAGATCTGCTCTAGATTATGGTTTGCTTTGTGTATGGATCTGCTTCCAAAACTGTTCTAGCTAGGTTAGATGTGGTGCAGGCAAGGGCTTTGAGGCTTTGCTGTGGGGCCTTTAGAACTTCCCCAGTTCCTGCACTACTCATTGAAATGGGAGAAATGCCCTTATGGTTAAGACGTATTAAATTAGGGTTACAGTACTGGGTAAAACTTAGTGGGTGTAATCATCCCTTCCCAGCAAGGTGTCTGTTACAAGAGGTTGCTGGAGCTAATAGATATGATATATTTTTTGTCATAGTAAATCAGTGGGCAGGGAAGATGAGCATGGATCAGGGAGGTATTGTAGAGCACACAAGTTGTTTACCAATACCATATTGGGTGTTGCCTGAAATGAATATTGAGCTTGGTTTTCTACATGGAAAAGATAAGTGGGAAGTGGCACCAAAAATAGAGGAATCTCTTAATTCAATTAGTCGGAGCACAATGATTGTTTTTACAGATGGATCTCGAGATCCAGTTAGTGGGGCAGCTGGATTTGGGGTGTGTACAGTATGTGAAGCAGATAGGGTTGGAAATTGGTTATTTGAAGCTCTGTCCTCACTGCTGAATTAATGGCAATTTTATGGGCTCTATGGTGGATTTAGGATGTCAAACCTAGAGAAGTTATTATCTGCTCTGATTCTGTAGGTGCTCTAGAAAAAAATCTAAAGCTCCTCCTGACATTGTCAATGACATCTTGAATGTGGTTTTTAATAGGTTTATTTGCAACATCAGCACGCTGGGGTGAGGGGGAATGAACGCGTGGATAATATTGCAAAGGAGAGCTTAGGAAGAGAAGTAGATGTCCATGTATTATTAGGGAGAGAGGAATTAAGAGAGAAAATTAAAGAGGGATTAATAAAAGAATGGGAGAGAGGGTGGGGAAAGGAAATTAGGGGTAGACATTACTTTTTTATACAACCTGAAGTTAGGAAAAGATGCGACATGTAACGTTTTGTTCCATAGCGACGCAGTTAAAATGTGCAGATTGAGATTGGGGCATTGTGGGTTAAAGTATTCTTTGCACATTTTAGGGAAGCATGTTTCTGGCTTGTGTAGTTTGAGTCTCTTGAGACTGTAGGGCATGTTTTCCTGGAATGCAGAAATCCACAAGTTTCCTACGCCCCATGAGGCCTTGCGTTAAAAGTGGGCGCGACTTCCGGTTTGAAGTAAACAAAGCACGATTTGACATGCTTGACACTCGTTCATTCAACAGTTGACAGTCATTCAAGTTATAGCGATCCAAACTAGCTAACGATGTGGGAACACAACCTCAACGAAATTCAAAAGGGTGAAATAACAGTACCTTAACCCTCCGCAGTTGATTGGCAGTATTATAATAACATTATTAATAATCAATACTCATCAAGGCATGGTGACAGACAGTTGTGCGAGCTGACAAACAATTAAAATAAAAAATACACACTTAGTCATTGTGCTTTGGAGTTTATTCAAAATTATAAATGAATGTGCTACTTGAATACATTAACTGGCACATTTGGTATTCTGTCAACTCAGGCTTTGATCCTGAGTTTAGGTGCAACATCAGTAGCGAACAGCCAAACACATGCTGATAAAAGTTTATAGAATATTAAGAATTTAAACAAATGTACACAAGAAGATTCGTCGTCTTTTGGGAGGTGATGGAAACTACAGTCGTTGGCAGGATCAGAGACGGGCTCTGCAGGATCACTCTGATTTTGTTTTCAGCTTATGTTCAAAACAATCACGTTTAAGCCACTGAATTAGTTTAGTCCGGTTATACAACCGCGAACAGCACATGTTGCCCCTGAGCTCCGTAATGACATCTCTCATAAAGATTTGCGTCTTTAAATATTAAAATAATTCTCAGAAAAACAGCTAGCCTCTTCGCTAACTAACACACAAAATACCATTGGAATGCTACTTCCGCCGCCTCACCGGAAGTTTCACCCACTTTATTTTTTACAGGAGCGCCCCTCGGAAACTTGTGGATAGGGTAGAAAGAAATGTACTCTTTAGAGTCAGGACATGAAGTTAAGGCTTTTTCTGTTTTATCTTTGTTTGGACACTGTGACGAGCATAAACTGAATTCCAAGGCAGTTCTTCAATTCTTGCATGACACAGGATTGTATGTAAGAGTTCAAACTTTGACCTGTGGAGGGCAGTAATACCCTCAGCAGCGTCTACATTGCCGAAATCTTACAAGAAGAAGAAGAAGAACGTTTTGTGTCGCTCTGGTGAACATATCTGAGCGTTTTGGCTTTGTCTTCGATTACTCTTGGACTGTTTATTCTCTTCGTGATTCATTGCTGCCTGTCCTGGACGATGTAAATTATGTAAGTTTGCTGCCTGACTTTATGCCTGTTTTCAGATTACGAGTTCTTTTGTTTACTGTTGTGTTTGCTGGTGATTGACCCTGATATTACGACCAAGATTACAATAAAGCTGCAAATGAATCCTCCCTGAAGCCTCATTACAAGTGAAAGTGCATACCATGAAAGTCCTACCCGTTAAGCTTATGTATGCTTTTTTCTGCCAACAGTTTGATACTTGTATCATCGTGTGTACATTTTATTTTTATTTATTTTTTTATCTCCATTTCATTTTGGTGAATTGAGTTGGTGGCTTTTATTTTGATGTTAATGTATGGTTTTTTTTAGCCATATCTGTGACCTGTGATTGCAGTGACTGTTAGGGAGGACGGTAATTAATGTGTCTTTTCTCATGCATCCTTCAGGAGAAAGACCGTGAATCTGAATACTGTTCTCGCTGAGATGTACAACTCCAATTAAACGGTCTCTCTTTATTCATGAACATGAAGAAATCCTGAGTTCTTTGCATGCAGATATGTTGTAAAATTAAATCCATACATATGAGAGAGTGAAACAAACAACATAATGGCCCAATGACGTGGAATTTTGATGTCCAAACCCCTTTTATGAAGTCAAAATAAGAAAATCTTTTATAAAATGCACATATTAATCTGATAATCTGTTTATCAAATGATGTGAACATATATTGAGGGTATTACAAAGTGTAAGAATTATTAGACATTAGTCTTAAAATGTCATACCGGATAACTGTTCGGACCTTAGAGTGAAATACAAAAAAGCCAAACAAGCTGTAAAAAATCTAATAAAACCTAACATCTCTTCCACAGGCATTATTGTATGAGTCTTGAAAACAATATGAATATTACAAAGAATATGACTGATTGTTATGCTTTGGAGCATTCTGACCCAGAACTGGCTAACAGCAGTGTTCAGTAGATTAAATCATTTACTTGATTAATAATCGATCAATCAACAAATTAAACTCACTCATACTATCATACAATTTTAAAACATCATTTGAATTTGACAAATAATCAATTTTCTTGTGCTTAATAGTCAACGTAATGCTGGGAAAATTGTAAAATGAACTGCAGCAGTGCTAAACGTGCATCTCATAAAATTAAAACACTCAAACTATAACGTTAAATGTATGAATTAAACTCACTGAGACTGTCGACAGTTTCTTTTCCCTGAATCATTTTATTATCCATGTATGTGGTTACAGTCAAATCATATAAAACAAATCGTCCTGGTAGGGCTGGATGATAAAACGATAACGATAATTATCGCGATATAATTTTTCTCGATAAACCAATATCAAGAGGTCAATAAATGTTCGATAATGTTTATGCGCCAAAAGCGGAACGAAACTCATTTGAACCGTGCGCGCCACACGGAGCATTTATCCGCTCGGCTCAAAGTCCAAACAGCAGCAGTTTCAAACATAGAATATGTATATAAAGGCTAGATATGTCGTCCACGCTGCTGACCAATGATGGTCGACGTCTGCACCTGGCGGCCATCTTGTCACAGGTAGCTCGCTCACTCGTAACATTGTGTTAATGGTACATGTACTATTTAAATGACCATAACTTGCTCAATTTTCTACCGATTTTCTACACATCTAGCCTTTATATACATATCTATGGTTTCAAACGTTACTAGTTTTAAACGAATAGTTTCAAACGGTCGCTCACGAGATCCAGTGAGAAGCGCTTGAGTTCAGTGAAGAACACAATGTCAAGTTTAAACCAGTTTAAAGGCAGCTGAAACACCGCTGACAAAAAGGAGACACCGTGCAATGATACAGTCAGAATCTGAATTGATACTGAATCAATTTAGCCTACTATGGATTTACTGTAAGGTTAGCCTAGTAATATTAACTGCACCATGAAATGTGGATACATATTGAATTGTATAATATTATTAATGTAGACGATGTATTAAATGACTAATGGAATATAAGTAATGTATTTAACTGTTAGGCTACTGTTTTTCATACAAATACCATAGAAACCATAAAGTTATGCCATGAAAGTGAGGTGCTAAGTTATAGGCTATACCTGGTTTTATCTGTGGTTATCATAATCTACAGTAAATGCATGAGACTGGATGACCAATGGTTAATTTTAATACAACTTAAACAGTCAGAATATTACTTTTTACCAAATAAAAATGTGGTTGTTACATTAAAAAAACAACAACAAAAAAAACCAGATGTTACTGTTTTTGTTAATGAACATAAATTTAAAGAGTAGTTTAAAAACACAATTAACGCTCTGGTTTATACAACTTTCACTTAGGAGCAAAAATCTGCCTTTAAACTTGAAAGAAATAAAGATTTGACATTTATCGTGATAATTATCAATATTGACTGATATAAAAAAAAATCGTGATAATTTTTTTTGGCCATATCGCCCAGCCCGCTCGAACTCTTCTGTCTTGCCTGCCCTCTACAGTGACACGTAAGCTCCACTGAAAGTCTTCTTTCCTATTGGTTATCGCTTGTGAAAATCGCTTCTCATTTGCATAAAGTCTCAACTTTTGTCGCTTGATACGCCCACATTCTGTCGCCAACGGTCACTGTCGCTCGTGTCGCCAGAAGTCGCCAGCGCTCCGTTGAAATGAATGGGATCATGTCGTTTGTCGCTGCGTGTCGCTGGCGGTGTGAACGGGGCTTCAGAGTAAAGCTGCGTTCAAACTACACGCGGCTGTCGCTGCAGGTCACCAGTTGCTGTGCTGGAGGGCGTTCCCACTACTGGTTGCCTAGTAATGTTTGTGAGTGACATTCACGGATGTTATTCTGTTAGACAACAAATACGTTTTATTGCTGCTACAAACAAACATTTTGTAAGGAATAGTCTAAATATAAATGGAATCTGTACATAAAATGCATAATATTAAAGATGAACGAGAAACAGTGAGTGCTCTTTGCTATTTGATTGCAACAAACGGACAAATACCAGTCTATCTGGGTTCCCGAAACCATTCAGTCACGGAGTCAGTACGGTGAACACCACTGTATGTACACAGAGATATATCAAAAATTATAGGACAGTTTCTGACTGCTGAAATGAGCTTCTCGTTCAACTTGCCTCGGTCAGACTCAGCACTGAAGAGTGACGCGCTCCACTGACTTCACTCCTATTGGTCGTCGCTCCCGAAAGTCTCAACTTTGTTGTGCCGCTGGACACGCCCCACTGGTCGCTAACGGTCGCCGGAAGTCGCCCGCAACCCATTGAAATCGCGTAGTCGCTTGTAGTGGGAACGGGGCTTAAAAAAGGTGATAGTGTGCGCGGTGCGGCGGGACGTTGGTGGTTGTGGTCGTATGTGCCCCCTTCTTGATTTTTTTTTGTGATTTTAATATGCAAATGACACATTTCTGAGCGTGACTTAACAAAAATCAGCATCTTACACATGCACTGTATCATAAGAAGTCAGGGCAGAGCACCCGACTAATGATAAGCCTAGCTAACGACAGGGATATTCCACCATTTGGGGAAGAGATGTGCGGTTGGCGGTTACAGCCGCGGACTCCGCGGATAAACCGCGGATCGGGCGGATGACGTGACTAAAAAAAATATTTTAATTAAATTCGGGCGGGTGGCGGGCGGTTGAACCAAATTATGTGCCAGAATGCGTTTTCTATTAAGCTAAAATGAAAATATTGTACAGTGTACATCAGATAAGGTCAGTGTGAAGAGGTTCAGTGTGTGTGGAAGGAAGAAGACCGGGTCGGCGTGACTGGGACTCGTGTTTTTTCAGAAAAACAAAAAGAAACTAGGCGCACAGTAGCGTTTTCGCCACCATAAACAAAACACGCGAACCAACACTTGCTTTTCAGTCTCGGTTGCAGTAGCCACGTGTGAAGTCCCAGTCCAACTCTCTCTTTCTCGCTTTCTCTTTCCCGCCGGTTATATATGCGGTCTCTCCACACAAATTACTGCAATCAGACACAGGTGTTTCTGTTTCTGTCCTACTTACTCACCACGCGGCTCCGTCCTTTCTCTCCCGCTACAGACTTCGCAAAATCACGCCCCCCTCGCCACAGCCAGGTTTGCCGAAGTGCGTTTAATTTATTTATTTTTGTCCTTGCGTGCCAATCGGAGACGGAGTTCACTGCTGATATTCCGAGAGCTTTCTAGTCTCGCGGCTGTCATCAGCAGCGCCTTGTATCAACCAATCAGCGGATGGCGGGCGGGCGCGGTTTTGAAAATTGGTCAAAAACGTTGGTGCGGATGGATGGCGGACGGATTATGAGTTTTGTGATGCGGTTGCAGATGAATAGCCCATCCGTGCATCTCTAATTTTGGGAATTAATTTACCCCTAGAGTAAAACAATTGTTTGTTTACCGTTTAGGAAACCATTCAGCCAATCTCCAGGGGCCTGATGTATAAACGTTGCGTATGCAAAAAATGGGCATAGAAATATACACGCATTTTTCCACGCACATATCGGGATTTATAAAAAATAAACTTGGCGTAAATAAGTGTGCACAGTAAGGATGCTCTTGACCATGCGTACACACTCTTTTAGAAGAGTATGTGTTTTGGCGACACCGATTGTGAGCTGGAGTTAAAGGTCTTTTTGGTCACTATTAGACAGAGAATCTAAAGAAAATTATACATCTACAAAAATATAATTTAAAATAATTTCACAAACCTATCATCACTTGAAGCAAACATCTATCCCTTCTTAAATGTCTGTGCCATGAGCACGTTGGGCCGTTTAGTGAAACTGACGCATAGCCTATCTAACGTCAGATGAAGTAAAACCGTAAATCTTCATTATGAGTCCAAATCATAAATACAGTGCATGTTCACAATAACAGTTTTTTTTACAGTAAATAAAATAATTATTTAAACTATGTTTTACTTCTGATATAAACATTTACATTAAATATGCCATTCTCATTAATGGAGTTAAACACTTAAACTACATGAAATCATTACTGAGAAGTTACCAAAAAAAATGTATATAATGTATAAATGTATGTGTATAT